AGAATTCTAGTTGTCCACATTTTGCTAAAACAATATTTACTTTATCATTTAAATTACATGTCATTAGATTACATGTCATTAGATTACATATAGAGTAAATAGACATTCAATGAAAAACAACTCAGACAAGAGATTATCTTGTAACCATGATACAAAAAGAGAAATTACGGTGTACAGGTTAAATTGTACTCACATTCACACTCTGCACTTAATTTCTCATCTCCAATTTCTCATCTCCAATCTCAACAGTTTGAAGGAATTTATATGATTTATGTTAAATTACCGGTAAGAGCCAAAAAACAACCAAAAATTAATGAGTTTATTTTTAATTATTATTTAATTCTTATGATTGTCTTTTCAAAACATGGATGAAATGTCTGGCATTTTAAATGTAACATAATAAATCAATACAGGTTGCCATGACAACCATGCATTAAGAAGAATAGTAAGTAGTACGGTAGACAAAAATAACAATACAATTAATTATCTGTAATTGTAAAGATAATAGAAATATTAAATAATAATATATTTTGTTCTGAATAATGATTTAATATTTACATCATAAATTATGGGGTTATTCTCCTAGTGGGTATTTTTTCATGAATTAGGATAATATTAATAATAAAAATGATATTTATGGTGAGAAATAATCAAGTTTTATGTAGATATGCAGACAACAGAACATTTACTGCTTGGATTCTCCTGAGAAATTCATGGTGATTAGATTGCAAGCTGAGCTCACTTAAATACTTCATTCATTGATGTCACTGTGTCATAAACACATTGAATTCTGTAAATAGCAATTATATACTAGACATGTTTCAAAAATGTATGCTGACCAATATTTTATCCTGAAATTAAAAATGGAGTGAATTGTTAGGAGATCTAAACTTAAATGAATGTTCCTTCATTACTTTAATACATTTATTTGAAAATATCAAATGTAAGACTCGTATAGACAATTCACTATTAAGAGATTTGGTTATATCAAAGACAATAGAAAAGATAATGTCTTTGGTTATATGTACATTTATTAAGAGAGGCCACAACCAAAGGTATTCAGCAAATTATCAGAATTCTCTAAATAATTCAATTTAAAATAAAATGCAAATTTTATTAGTAGAAAAGCCATAAATGATATTTCTTACATAAATATATATTTATATTATTTATTTATTATTAAAATTATATGATTTATTAATTTATTTACAGTTCTAAAAATAACAGAAGCCTCTGTTATTTTGTTGTGACAATTTTTCTTTATAAAACCACAAAATCTTGTCCTAAAATGTTCATGAATAATCAAATCATCAAAATTCCTAGTGGTGAAAATTAAATAGTTCACGGTGAATCTGAAAAAAAAAACAATACAAGGGAAATTATTAGCTTCATACAAACATTCTTCATAAATATCCCACAATGCATTTCACCATAGTATAGATTGACAGCTTTAATGTCAGCTTGGGTTCATAACATCCTATTATTAATAGAGCGTTACTTTTTAGGCACTACCATGAAAAATGAAAAAAAACGTCTAATAAGAAAATAATTTTGTCTCAAGTTTTTTTAATAATTTTACTTTCTTACTGTTCCTAGATCATCTTGTACAAAATTATGTTAGATTTATATTTCTAAAAATACATTAGACTTTATTTACAGTACTGTATTTGCTCTATTTGAAGTGCATATCTCCAATAAAAGTGAATATAAACCAAAAATAGCATTTGTTGTATACTGGATTATTAAAATATTACTTACTTTTACCATAGATACATTAGCACATGCACCACTAATAGAGCAATTATGGTTGTTTAAATTTACGGTACTGAAAATACATGTACACATTTGGAACAGTCTTTCTGATATAGCGCCCCCTAGTGGCACTATCCTCTTATAAGAAACACTATTTCAATTTAATTTAACGCATCATTATGTAAATTTTCTTGAAGAGCAGTTTCCTTTGTCTGGTTCACACCTTCAGTGTCGTAGCATGTCAGGCCATACAAGGCAACTAACTACTGAGGAACGGTGGTCCATCATGTTCTCATTCTTTGTTCTATATCCATTGGTTATCATTGGTTTTTGTTATCACTTTGCACACAAATAGCGAGAAATGCCAGAACCATCTCAAATATGAAGTCTAACCAGACAGATGGAATGGACATGGTGTTAATGCAGTAATACTGGCTTGTTTACGGAGAACAAAAATTGAAATGTTCTTAAATTACGTT